AGCTCTAGGAGAGAAGCCAGGTGAGTGAGAATTCCTGCACAGGCCCCACCCACTGTCCCACAGCTGACACTGTCCCTTCATGCTCCGTCACTCTGCACACGTGCACGTCTTTCTATAAACTGCAGCCCCAAAGCCCTTTGCACTTTCCAATGTTTCCGTGTGGCTACAGCCATTGTTCACAGTCACAGCCAGAAAATTCACACAGTATCATTACATGATGGACATTCTTGGCGGGAACGCTCAGGGGAACCACGGCGGGAAGCCCTGGGGACGCAGCGGGGCAGCGGGTGTGTCCCGCGTGGACCTGCACTGGGACCAGGCACACACCTGCCTCACTCAGCAAGCTCTACCCGCCAGGCTCAACATCTCCTGGAGATCTTTTTGTCCATTGTTACTCTGCTGGCCGCTAAATGTTTCTCAAATTTCATCTTCTCTTCCTTATTGTCGGCCTTTTTCCGGTACGGGCAGGCTTTCCTTCTCTCATTCGCCTCAGGAGGTGCACAGAGGATTCTGATCTTCGTCACCGGCTATAGTCTGTGGCTGTCGTTCTCTGATGTTTATGTGGTCCCAGACCTAGCCAGCCCGAGGGACCTTTTGGGGCATCCCCCTCGCATTCTGAGCACTTGCCGCCACCAGTTCTCCAGGCTCAGCCTGCGCTCACTCCGCCCCGTCCCGGAGTCAGGCCTTTCTTGGAGCAGCTCTGGTTCCTCCCAGCAGAGAACAGAACTTAGAGACCACGATGTGGTGCTGTGTGCCTGCTGCGGCTGGCGTGCCGCTGCTTTGAGGAAATGCAGACGCGCGCCCACGTCTGTGTGTCCGCGGGCATATGCTTCTGCATCTTCCCACGTCTCTGTGCAAGTGCACGCGCCAGTTCGTGGACTGAAACCGTCAGCTCGAACGGGCACCTCAGACTGTAACCCCAGGTCACAGGGTTGGTCTCCATCTCCACCCCTGGGTCTCTCAACCATGTGGCCTTGCTCTGTGCGCAGCGGAGGCCTGGGCGTCACCAGCCTAAGGGAGGCTGCCTGAGCAAGGGCACAAGGACTCACCGGGCAGGGGACCAGGGCTGAGCCAGACGGCCTTCTGGAAGGGCCAAGAGAGGCAGAAGCAAACTTCCCAGGAAGCTCTGGGGTGAGGGCAAAACCCTAAGATATTCTGGATCGAACAAGCAGCCAGAAAAGACGGCTGCTGTCCGGCTCTGTGGAGACCTCAGGTCAGGCAGGGTCACTGGGAAAGGTCAAACATGTCCCCGAGCAGCTGGGAGGGGGCTCCTCACGCCCTGCTGTCCCCCAGGAGAGGCTGACCTCCATTCGAGGCACGAGTGACCCTAGTCATGGCCTCCCCAGACCTGCTTATGCATAACCAGCGACTACAACTTCTGACTGTTCCATTTCTAGGAATCCTGTTCCCTTTTATGAATTTTATTTTTAATTTAATTTTTTAAGTACACTCTACGCCCACCGTGGAGCCCACTGCAGGGCTTGAACTCCCAACCCTGAGATCAAGACCTGATCTGAAATCAGAGTCAGACACTTAACCCACTGAGCCACCCAGGCGCCCCAATTTTATTTTTTTTTAAGTAGGCTCCAGGGCCAACACGGGGCTTGAACTTACAACTCGTAAGGCCAAGAGTCACATGCTCTACCGACCAAGACAGCCAGGCACCCTGGGATCCTGTTTCTTTCAAGGTTGTTCTGTTGCGGGTTTCATCCCTCTCGTCTGACAAACATACTTTCCCCCAAAGACAAAAAGTACTTCTGGGTTTGATGCGCGTGTGCCTGAGGGAGACATCCACACACCCAGGACAAACATCGGCAAGGAGGGGGAAAGCTGCTCTGGAGCTCATGGGCCGCCCAGGGAGCACGCTGAGGGCTGGGAAGCTGGAGGGAAGCCGCTCACCGTCACCAAGTGCTGGGCAGTGGAGGCTGGGGTCTTTCCAAGAGGGACTCCACCTCTCCTGGGGCTCCCAAGGCCCCAGGCAGTGCTGGTGAGCACAGGCTACACGGGGCTGACAAGTGAAGCTGTCTGCAGCCTCTGGGAGTGCCCAAGAGCTTGTTTTAAGGCCAAGAGCAGCTTCGAATCCTGGAGAGCTAGGGCATTGACTGAGAAGCCCCAAGGCTAGAAACTGTGCCTGGAACTCCACACCGGAGCAAGGAATTGATTTTCTACCTCACAGGAGACAAAAACGCCCAGAACGACAGCAGTGTGGGCCTTCTGCCAGCCTGGATGAGGCAATCTCTTCAGCCTGTGCATGAGCAAACCAAGATGTCGCTGGAGGTACTGATGCACGCCAGCTGGGAATCGTGACCAGAGCGTCACGCTGAGACAGATCCGCAAACGGGGTGCAGCCGGGAGTCTCCGTGCCAGTGCCTGCGACGAGGGCGCCCCCGGACACCATGGCATCCTGTCTGCCGCTCATTCTCAGATAGTTCTGGGGGAAGAAAAAGGAGAGAGAGAACAAACGTGCTCTTTGGGGGATGTGGGTCAAGAGTGCTACTCTTGAACCGCTCAGTTTCCATTTTAAGCTTAATAGGAACAACAGGGGTGTGGAGCAAGAACTGGGAGAAGGGCTGGTCATATGAGGCCACCGACCCCAGTCCCTCGTGTGTCTCCTCAGCCCTGGCAAGGCCCACCGCCGTCTGCATCTCCCGCCCAGCACCAGCTGCTCACGGCAGCTGCAGGAAACAGCAAGCTTTGGCCCCAGCCTCGGCCAGACCAGCTGCTCAGGGAGATTCTAGTCGTGCCCAAGCCTCCTCCTCGGCAGGAGGCCTCACTCAGGCCCTGGTGCCAACTCGGCCTTTGGCAGAAAGCCCCATCTTCTCGCCTCCGCACCAGGAGCTCCTGTCTCTTGTCTACGCTCCCCGCTCACCTGCCAGGGCCGAGCCCTTCCCTCCGAGCCCATCTCCTGGCCACTGCAGGCCCTCACTGAATGACCACCCCCCTCTGTGCTCCCCAGCTTCAGAGCCGGCTCAGGCCTGCGGAAGGCAGCTGGACGCCTGTTTGCTGGGTGCGTCCTTCCCCACCCACATTCACTCTGTACCACCGGGACATCTGGCTTCCGTACTCCCAAATGGCGGCGTAAGAAAGAGAACTTAGAATTGCGACGCGATCGGGGATCTCCACTCCACCTCTTGGAGCTGGGTGACTTTTGCCCATCCCCGGGACCTGTGGGCAGTGGATATGCAGAGTCAGTACGAACTGTACCACCGACTCCTCAGTCTTTGTCCTCCCATCTTGTCTGCCTCCCTGATCCCTCGACACTGTCTCCTGGGAGCTAAGGTCAGATCCATCCCATGTGTGGTTCCCAAACCTGCTGCCCCTCTCCTCCACTGAGTTTGTCTGCGTCCCACAGACCCTGTCTCTTCTTGGCAGCCAGCCAGCTCTTTAAATTTAACACGCCACCTGACACTCGCACCCCGCGCATCTGTGCTGGATTTGCCATAAGGCAGCCACAGCAGGTGTTTAAGGCCATTGAGAAGAAATAAACCTCGGGACAAGGAATGTGATACCACAAAAATGCACCAAAGCTCATCCCGCTGTGCTCCATTCTCTGTGAGTTGCATGGGGGAGGCGCACCTCAGGGATGGGACCCGGAGGTCTCCGCTCAGTGCTCCCCATCATCTCCAGGGCTGGTCCTCCCCAGCAGCCTTGGGCCGTCTAACATCAACGCCGACTCCTCTTGCCTCCCCCGACATCGGGTTTTTAAATCTTGAAGCTTCTCTTGCCCCAAAGGCCTCACATGCTCCCTCCCTCGGCACCAGCCACATCCAGTCCCTGCTCCCTTGGGGCTACAACACAGCTGTCGCCGCTAACGGACCCCGCCATGCTGTCCCGTGCCCGCGGTCACCTCCTCCAACTACAGAGCAGACACATGTCACTCGGCCGCTCACACAGCTCTGCCCCCACCCCCTGCCTAGAGGTCAAGGCCCTCCCGCGGCGGTGTTCCCCGCCCCCTCCGCGCAGACCCTGGGCTCCAGCCAAACCAGACTTCCTGCCGTCTGGGAACAGGTGCTCCGTCCGCCCGAGATCACCACCCCCACCCCCACCTGCCGGGATCCGTCCCCGTCCACCAAACGGCAGGGGACAGCTGGCCGTCTGACGGACACGGCTCAGATTCTCTGCTCCACAGGGTGTAGCCAAATGTCACCGAGAAAAACCCTGAGGCATGACGTCATCACAAGTTTAAACACGAACTGTAAAGGGTCTGAGAAACACGTGATCACCAAATACACGCAAGGGGCGAGACCCCGGCTCCGAACCCAAGCCCAAGATGCTACCCGCCCGGCAGAGCCGGGCTGCCCCGCGAGAGCAGAGGGGCGGCGGGTCGTTCCGAGCTGCGCCCGGCCGCGGGGACACCCTTCGCGGAGGCCGAACGGGCTGCGGCGCCGGGAGGGTCCCACGTCCTCCCCGGCCCCGACGCTTTTCCGCCCCGCCCGCCCGCGCCCACACGGCGGCGGACGGAAGATGCGCACCCCTCCCCTCCCGCCCGCAGCGATAACGTCACCGCGCCCACGTGACGCGCAACGCCCGCCGCTCCCGGGCCGTTGCCCAGCAACGCTACCGGGTCAGCTTTGTTCTGAGCGCGGACGACCCCGGCCTCCTCCCTCCATTAATGACTCTCCCTCTAGAGGTCGCCACAGTTGTAACGGCTGTTCCTACAAGGACCGCAGTTATCTCGACGGGTCTGGCACCCGGGAGACACGCGACCGCAAACCGGACGCACACCGTCTCCGCCCCTAGCCCTCCCGCGCCCTCCCCATTCTTGGACGTTCTCCCCCTCCCGGGACTCTCTCCGCTTCCCAGGGCGCCGCGCGCCGTGACGTCACTGTCCTGCGCCCCACCGCCGCCGCGGCGCCTGGCGCTTCCGGCCGCGAGGGCGTGTCGGCGGGGCGGGTGTCGTCAGGGGCACGCGCCGGAAGCTGGCGCGAACCGGACGGAAGTGGCGGGGCGGAGCGCGGGGCGATGGGGGGCGGCGGCGGCCGGCGATGAGCGGCGGGAGCGCGTGAGCGGCCGGCGGGCGAGGCTGGGGGCCCCGGAGAGCGAGCCACAGGGCGGAGGGCGGGCGCGAGCGCGGCGGGCGGCGGCGGCGGCCGAAGCGCGGCGGCGGCGGCGGCCGAGAAGATGGCGGACGGCGACAGTGGCAGCGAACGCGGCGGCGGCGGCGGGCCCGGCGGCTTCCAGCCCGCGGCGCGCGGCGGCGAGCAGGAGACGCAGGAGCTGGCCTCGAAGCGGCTGGACATCCAGAACAAGCGCTTCTACCTGGACGTGAAGCAGAACGCCAAGGGCCGCTTCCTGAAGATCGCCGAGGTGGGCGCGGGGGGCTCCAAGAGCCGCCTGACGCTGTCCATGGCGGTGGCCGCCGAGTTCCGCGACTACCTGGGCGACTTCATCGAGCACTACGCGCAGCTGGGCCCCAGCAGCCCGGAGCAGGTGGCGGCGGCGGCGGCGGGCGCCGAGGAGGGCGGCGGGCCGCGGCGCGCGCTCAAGAGCGAGTTCCTGGTGCGCGAGAACCGCAAGTACTACCTGGACCTCAAGGAGAACCAGCGCGGCCGCTTCCTGCGCATCCGCCAGACGGTCAACCGCGGCGGCGGCGGCCCTGGGCCCGGCGGCCTGCAGAGCGGCCAGACCATCGCGCTGCCCGCGCAGGGCCTCATCGAGTTCCGGGACGCGCTGGCGAAGCTCATCGACGACTACGGCGGCGACGACGACGAGCTGGCGGGCGGCCCGGGCGGCGGCGCGGGGGGCGCGGGCGGCGGCCTGTACGGCGAGCTCCCGGAAGGCACGTCCATCACCGTGGACTCCAAGCGCTTCTTCTTCGACGTGGGCTGCAACAAGTACGGCGTGTTCCTGCGCGTGAGCGAGGTGAAGCCGTCCTACCGCAACGCCATCACCGTCCCCTTCAAGGCCTGGGGCAAGTTCGGGGGCGCCTTTTGCCGGTACGCGGACGAGATGAAGGAGATCCAGGAGCGGCAGAGGGATAAGCTGTACGAGAGGCGCGGCGGCGACGAGTCGGAGGGCGAGGAGGTGGACGAGGACTGAGGCCGCCGCTTCCCCGATGCCCCCCCCCCGTCCCGTCCCCCCACCGTCCCCTTGGCTGGAGAGCCCCCTTCCTGCTCTTCCCCAGGGGGCTAGTGGAAGCGGGGCGAGGGGGCCCCGTCGGAAGCTCACAAAGTTCAAAAACAGAACAATTCATTGCGAGAAATAACCACAAGAGAACCGTCGCGGACAATTCAAGGAAAGCAGCAAAGTTCCGAGGAACTGACACCGACCAGCCTGCAGAGCGGAGGCAGACGGCCTGAGCGAAGGCTTCTCCGTTTCCGTCGTTTCCAGCCGGGGCTCGTGACCCGGTCAGGGCAGCCCTGCAGGGGCGCAGATCCCCTCGTGCCCCGGGCCAGGGAACGCTCGGGTTCCCCAGACCCATCCGTGACAGCTGCATTTGTGTTCTACCCGGGGGTCCTGGCCTGTTGAGCTCTCCTGACCTCAGTGCTGTGGGGTGGGTCTCCACCTCCATTGAGATCAGCATGCATATCTAGGTCTTCGTGGAATTCTTGAGAAGAGAGAGGCCTTGGTTTCTGCCCTGTTCTGAGGGTGCAGGTTTTGTGAAAAGGAGTGCGACTTACAATAATCATGGAGAGGGCAGAATGAGAATTCAGGAACCCACCAGGGAATATAGAAAGAAACTGGGTCCATTTTGTCTAAAATGGTTTTGCGTGGAACCTGGACCAGTGTCCTTGTCTCTTTGTGGCTTTGTTTTCCTGGATGCCAAGGGATTCAGATGTCAGTTCTTCAACTGGAATCTGTTACTAAAGGATTTTAGAAGTTGGCCAAGGTTTTTTTTTCAGAGATAAGGGTCGTTTTACATTGGGGGTTGCTGAGGTGGGCACGGGAAGAAATGTGACATCAAGCACAAGGACTGTCATGAGTGGCTTAGTTGCTGCTCACTGAAGTCCTTCCCCTGGTTTCCAGGCACGGAGGTCCTCACCATGAGATGGCTTAGGGGTGAATGAGAGCCAGATCCCTGTGGCTCTTTAACCTGAGCCACTGAATTACGGCTAATTCAGCTGTTTGGGCCACTGGTTGACTGGATTTTCAACCGTAAAACTTGAAGATAACCTACAAAAGGAACAGTGTGGCTGCAAGCCTCAGCTTTAATGGAATATACGTCCTCACAGAAAAGTTGGATATAACCAAAACTGAAGTCTTCACCTACCTTCAGTTCCGTCTGTGGATTTGTTGAAATACTAAAGATCCTCAGGTCCAGAATTCCAGCATCATTTTTTTCTTTTTAAAGTAAATTTTTAAGAACTCGATCCATTGTTTCAGTACCTCCCGGTCAAAGTTGGCAAATGATGGGTGAGTGATTGGAGCAGTGTGCCCTTTAGAAGCTGAAATCCATCGGGGTGGAGATGAAGGGAACGTGCAATGCTGACCGTGTCCCGGAAGCATTTTTCTACCATCTTGAAATTTCAACAGACTGGCCTTCACCAGTTTATCCAGCTGTTTTTCTCAAGAATAAAAGTTGGGGTTTTCAAGGATCGCCTCTTCTATATTTTAAATGGATTTTCAGTAGAAATGATTTTTACTAATCAAGTACATCCCTCCCCATCACCAAGGTATTCCTAGAAGTGGCACAGACCTAGGCGACTTGGAATTGAACGGGAGCTAACGTTCTTTCCCAAGTTTGTAGCTGTTCTTTGGGTAACACCTTCTCAACCAGGAGGCAAGTAACCCCACCTCCACAATCTTAGTATTTTTCTTTTTTAACTGCATGCCTGCCCTTTATCTGAGCTGCCATTTAATTTATTGCATACCCTTTATTATATGAGTTTGGTATTATTCAATCTATACAATCTTTTTGTATTTATTGGGAAATAAGTAATCTACAAAAAGGTCATCTTCATGCATCGTGGCCGAGAGGGAGGGAAAGAACTGTACATAAAATTAGGCTTTTTTAAAAAAATTAGACTGATTCAGAATACTGTTGATCTTAGGTTTTTAAAAAAAAAAAAAAAAAAAAGTGGAAGAGCCACAAACTTTGGTGCCCTTTTCAGACTATTTCTCTACTCTCATCCTCCACAGTAGACTTTTTAAACGGATTTTTTTTAAAGCTTTTCCTTTTTTTAAAAAAACTTTCTCCGTCGCAAAGAATGTTTCCTAAATTGTATGGGAGCAATAGTATTTTTGATGTTTTAAGGACATCCGTATATACTCGTACTGTATTTTGTACCACAAGGCAGCTGTTTTCAATAATGTCCTGCTGTATTGACCTGTGTGTTTTGAGTGTTGATTTCTTTGCTGCGGAGAACAGATCCCTAAGCCGTTTTAGGAAGGGCGTGCCGCGAAGCCGGCGTTCGATCCCGAGAAGCTGTTGCGGTTTCCAGCCGGGAGGCAGCAGGGAGAAACCAGGTTGCAGCCCTCCGCTCGCTGCTGTGACTGGGTCATTCTCACACCGTGTACAGTTCCCGTTCAGACCGACTTGTTTTGCTTCGGTGGTGGCTCCGTTGCGCAGTGGCAGCGAGCCTGGTCGATTTTGCTAAGGTGCGGTACCTCCCCTTTGCAAGGGGCTGGCGCATTTTTCCTTTTCTTTTTGTTTGGCTGAATTGCAGCAACTGGCCTTGCCCTTCTGGTCCGTAGAAGTGACAGGGTCTTCACAGTCCTTCACCAGTGGCTCCTAAGCTATAATTAGCTGAATAGAAAGAATGTGGAAGTGGTCTGAGGCGTATAGAGCATATGCCAAGAACACTACCATATATGGCATCAGCTTTGGTTACCAGAGAAATTTTCTTAGTCATTAGACCATGTAACAGTAACATATCATATGTAAATCTTTAGATACCAATTTGAGAATCCTCCAAAAAAAGGAGCAAAGAATGCATAAGCTATGTGTTGGAAAAAGTAATTTATATTAAAATTTTGACCTGCCTATGTAAGATTAAGTGGTAAACGTCACAGTGGTGGGTTTGTAAGTCTTAACCGATCTCTGAGGTTCGTTTGTCCTGCAGGGGTGGCTCCCGGCCTCTCTCCTCACTGCAGGGAGATGACAGAAGGGTGTGGGTCGGTTGTAGCGTTTCGCTGACCCTCACTGCACGCACTGTTCTGGGGCAGTAGAAGTCCGCGGGTCAGAGAGACTGCTCTTTTTGATGTGTGGCCGGTCACCGAGGCCGGATTTCAGAACTCGTTCAGAAGCAGCGCTTAGCAAAGGAAATCTGTTCATTCCGGTTAGAAAATGGCATTACAGACTCTGGGAAACAACCAGATTTTTGTCATTCTGGTTTTCATCCTCTACTACGAACAGTGATGTAGAGCTCGTCCTTCCACCTTGGCAAACCTCCCAGCTGATCACATGTTCAAAACAGTCCGGTTTCTAAGAAGCGGGAACGAGGATCCCTTCTGCGGCTGTGGGCAGAACGCTTCTCAAGCCGGTGCCGTGTCGGGCCCGAGCGGTCCAGTCGCAGGAACGGTCGAATCAAAAGAGTGAAACTCCGTGGCGAGATCCCGCCGTCGCCTCGTGGTTTATGGTCCCCACTCTGGTTTGAGTAGCGGGGCGGTCCTGGTCCGCGGAGAAAGCCTTCAGCGCATATGCTGCACGGAGCGCCACGGGACTCTCCATGGCACCCAGAACTCACAGTGGACGCCCAACGGGAAGCGCAGACACCCTGAGCTGCCGTGGGAGGCGTGGAGTCGGTCAGGAGGGCTGTGGCCGTGACACACACACGGCTGCTTGTCAGGTCACTTTACACAACGGTTTGCCGCCTGCCTGCCGGGGGAGGGGCTGGGGGTGCTGCAGGGGGTGCGGGCGGCCCGGCCCCTCCCTCGCCTGGCAGTCAATTGCAGGTCTTTCAAAGAGACGCAAGCTTCACTTTTCTCAAAACAAAACAGTTGTCCTGTCTTATCTGATGCAGGGTCGTGGGCAGAAGAGGCCGGTTATAGTGCCCTCATATTGAGTGGTCTGAAAACGGCTGCACACTTCAGGCTAGTTGTTGAGGATGCTTTGTTCCGTGTGACCTTGACCAGCCCTCGGTGGGCGGGGGGCGGTAGCGTGACCCGCACAAGGTGTCATGAGGCGGAGCTATCGCTGGGCGTCCGCCTTGCTCTGGAGGCGGGCGGCCTTGGGGGAAGCTTGAGTGTGTCAGCCACGCACAGAATTCTTCACTGTAAATTTTGTTTTCATTTTAACCCACTTTGCGGTACTTTGACCAATGCACAACTGATCTCTCAGTAGATATTCATTTGCAAATAGCGTGGCCTTGATCAGTGAGAGGGAAGGAGGGAAGTGACCTCCGGTGGGGGTGCGAAGGGGGCTCAGAAGGGGGCTCACCGAGAGGCCTTGCTCGGGCCACTCTTGGCGTTGGATGCGCGCGTGGTCCGGCTCCTTCCCGCCTGGGGAACGTTCCTGGTTCCTGGTTCGACCCTGGAGTTTCAATTCAATTGAGTTGTCTTCTATTTTTAGGAAGGATCAGAATTGCTCTGATAAGTAACAAAGTTGACTGCTTTGGTGTCCAATCTCAGGTTTTAGAATAGGGAGAGTGGTGTAAAGTCCCACTGTTGACTCTGAAAACAGTTTTAATGTAGTACACCCTAAAAGTCACATGCATGAGGCCTGTTCAGAGAGCAGAGCCTCCCGCCGTTTTGCTCCTTTTCTACTTTGTACTTCACTTGAGAAAGTGTCGAGTGATCTTACATTGTATATTTCCATTGGAACCCCGACATATTTCTCAAAGATAAAGCACTTTTTGATAATGAAATTCATGGGATCTTCATGTGATGTAGAACATGGTTTCTCAGGCTCCCTTAGATAATCTTACGGATATTGTTCTGTGTAAGAAGAGTGAGTCTTTGCTAGTGTTAGGAAGTTTGTATTACTGATCCAGAAGCATTCTGCTAGCTTCCAGTCGCTGGGAGAGTAAACAATGCTGCATTCACAATTTAATAAGTTACTTTCCCTTAAGCCTTAAGGTAACTTTTTTTTCCCTGCCAACAACAGCACTGAAGTTAGAGTAAGTGAACGAGATGATCAGTTTTCAGGGTTGGTTTTAGAGTACTGTAAATCCACGAGCTGTCTTCCGAAACATACGCTGTCCCCCTTGAGTAACCTGGATAATGGGCACATGGGCAGCCTGGGGGATAGGTTGTAAACAAGAAAAAAGAAGGAAAACCACATTTACTTTAAGAAAAATACACAAAATTAAAAAGTGCGCGTCGGCGCCCCGTTTTCGAAATTGCAGATAGAGGGCGGAAATGCAAACTAGAACTTCACTTGCCCAGTTTCTAAATCTAGGAAAGCAAAGTCATTGATTTTCAAATCCTACCCCACCCCCCGGCAAAGTTTCCAGAGCTCACTGGGGGACAGCGAGTTCCTTTATCCCAGTTCCCGAGGTAAAGTCACTGTTCCCGGCCCTTGGTCTTAAAATGAAGTTTCTTTACTGATGGCTTCAGCAGACCGTTCTTTCAATAAATGTCCAGTTGTCAGGATGAAAATCTGATTGGGAAAGTGAAAACATGGTAAAGGCGTATCGC